AAACGGGAGCTAAAGGTGGTTAAAATTTGGTTGAGGTTGTTTTGAGTGAGTGAATTACGTGAATTTCCTTTTTCTCATTAATTAGTACATTTATCCCCTTTTCAATTTTGATTTTTTCTCCTCTACACTTGCTCATTATTTTTCTATTTATGACGATTTTTTCCCTTCAATTTCTACTCAGTTTTTTTCCTTCTTTCTGAATTAGCTATTTAGTTTTGTCTCGTTTGATTGATCCATGCATAGTAAGTCATTTTGTTTCATTAGTATCTGAATTTTAGGAATTGCATATGAAAATTCAAGAGAACTCGCAACAAGGAATGTGTACAGCAACAGGAACCAACTTTTTTTTTTTTTTTGGACATTAAAATTTGCATAATCACCAAGTATGAGAACTACAAATCAAGCTTAGCAATCACTGTTGGCGAGTTAAAGAAACAGAAAGTCTTCTTATTAATGCTGATATATAGTGACTGCAAAATAGGTCATATACATAAGATAACTAAGAAAGCTAGAATCTGAGTTTTTGCATCAAATTCCAAAGTTCGCTAGCAGCCTTGATATTAAAAGCACAAGAAATTCGGATGGAACTGTTGTATATTTGCATAATTGAGATCAACTATTTATAATACAAGAGTACAATGAGTTTGGGAGAATAGGAGTCTACAAAGATAAGATACAATCTGTAAAGATAAGTATTTGAGTTCAAAAGGAATTATCCATTCGAGTTAGTTGTGATTATCTTCTAGAGATAATTGTATCCATGGTCATTGAACTTTTGTGTTTGTTACCCAAAAGTCATTTTTCTTTTTTTTGTGTAACGTAAAAATTATTCAACTTTGTATTCATTACACAAAAGTCACTTTTCTTTCTTTTGTTACACAAAAATTATTTTACTTTGCTCTAGGTATCACAAAAGTCACATTTTTACTTGAAAAGTCTATTATGCCCTTGATATTATATAAACCTTCATATTTATGTAATACCTTCTATATTATATAGTATATAATATATTTTTAACTATTTATTTTATTTATAAATAAAATAACTTAATATTATTTTATTTATTATTTTTATAATATATTCGTATATATAATTTTTTCTTAACTTTAATTTTCAAGATATATTAGCAGCGTTAAAAAATAAATTTTTTCAGCAACTCTTTTTTTATTTTATTTAATTGACTGACCAAAGTTGGTCGAAAATTACCGACCAACTGTATGCCCTTCCGACCTTCAAAATACCGACCACACGTTAATGGTCGTGTTTTGGACGGTTATTGGCCACCGATCAACTTTGGTCGATTTTTCTGGACGATTTTTTCCGAATTTCTAGTAGTGTAATTTCCCAAATAACCAATTGCCTAGGTAAATCCCCAAGAAAATATCCCCAGCTAAATACGCATGTAGTACCTAGGGATTTTCCTTCAGATTAACATATGATTTGTTCCTCATTTTCTTTGTTTGTTTACCTGCGAATTTTCTCACGTAAATGCACTTGCCGATTTATTTCTCTTCTAATATATATAAAAGTTATTGACGAATTTAATAACGCTACTAATATACTTTAAAAATTAACGTTAAGAAAAAAATAAATATACGAATATATTATAAAAATAATAAATAAAATAATATTAAATTATTTTATTTACAAATAAAATACATAGTTAAAAATATATTATATAGTATATAATATAGAAGGTATTACATAAATATGAAGGTTTATATAATATCAAGGGCATAATAGACTTTCAAGTAAAAATATGACTATTGTGATAACTAGAGCAAAGTAAAATAATTTTTTTGCAACAATGGAAAGAAAAGTGACTTTTGTGTAATGAACACAAAGTTGAATGATTTTTACGTAACAAAAAAAAGAAAAGTGACTTTTGGGTAACAAAAAAATTGTTCAATGACCATGGATAAAATTAACTCTTATCTTCTATATGCCCCCGCAAGATCGGTACTGCCGGATGGAGACCAATCTTGGAAACCAACTCAATAAACTTCTTCAGCAACGGTTTTGTTAGAGCATCAGCAAGTTGTTCAGTAGAGGAAATATGGCAGACTGTAATCACTTTAATTTCTTTTCAACTTGATCACGAATGAAGTGAAAATCAATGGCAACATGTTTCATGCGACTATGAAATATTTGGTTTTTGCAAAGATATGTGACACCGATGTTCTCACAAAGAACTATGGGAGTGTGCTTGAGGGAAAGATGAAGCTCATTATGCAGGTGGGTTAACCAATTGAGCTCAGCAACTGTGGAAGCAACTGCACGGTACTCAGCTTCAGTTGAGGAGCGAGCAATGGTGTGTTGTTTTCTGAAACTCCAGCTTACAGGAATACTACCATAAAAAATAATGTAAGCCGACGCAGAGACACGGGAATCTGGATCACCACCCCAATCAGCATCAGAGTAAGTTGTGAGCCTGGTTGTTTCAGATGGACTAATGTGCAGTTCAAGGGTGATTGTCTGCTTCAAGTAACTAAGAAGACGCTTGGCAGCCTGCCAATGCTTAATAGATGGAAGGTGCATGAACTGGGCAAGCCCGTTGACGGCAATTAATATGTTCGGTCGGGTGTTTGTAAGGTATTGGAGAGCACCTATTACCTGTCGATATTCCTTGGCATTTGTAGGAGGTGAACCATTATTAAGCAAGAGTGGTTCAGTTGTGGACATGGGTGTTGAGACTCCCTTTGCTTCCAGCATGTTGAAACGACTTAAAAGTTCAGCTATGAACTTAAATTTAAGTGAGAAGAAGACCATTATCAAATGGAACAACTTCAATGGTTACGAAAAAGTGCAAGGGACCAAGATCCTTTCATGAGAACCTACTGCCAAGCTTGGAGAAAACATCACGAATTTGATAAGTTGATGGCCTAGTAATAATAATATCGTCCACACAGATGAGAACATAGATCAAGGCAGTGGATGAGTTATAATTAAAGAGGGATGTGTCAGAATAAGCTCTTCGAAATCCATAAGAACATAGAAACTGCATGAGCGCATTATTCCACGCGCGTGGAGCTTGATGCAAACCATAAATTGGCTTGTGAAGACGGCATACATGATTTGGATAGGTAGGGTTAATTAAGCCTTGTGGTTGTTGCATGAAAACAGTTTCCTCAAGTTGACCTTGTAAGAATGCGTTGTTGACGTCAAGTTGATGTAAGGGCCACTTATAAGTGACTGTCAAAGAAAGTATTAGCCGGATGGTAGTGTGTTTAACTACTGGGCTGAATGTAGCATGAAAATCAATCCCAGGACGCTGATAAACTCCTTTGGCAGCAAGGCGAGCTTTGTAGCTTTGAATGGATCTATCAGCACTGTGTTTCAAGCAAAACACCCATTTGCAACCTACAATATTTTGAGCAGTGTTAGATGGAACAAGAGTCCATGTTTTATTTTGCATAAGGGCGTCGTACTCTTCACTCATAGCTTCACACCACTAGGGATATTTTTGTTCTTGTTTAACAGTGCTAAGAGTGAGGGGTAGGGAAGTAGGTAAGGAGGTAGCAAGATAGTCAAATACTTGTTTTGGTTTGAGAATGTTATTTTGGGATCTGGTAACCATACGGCCAGGTAGTTGGTTTAGTTCGTTGGATTGTGGCAGTAGGTGATCTAAGTTTGGGAGGGTGTTTGAGGAGGTAGTAGGTATAGGCGACGTAGAAGAAAGAGGCGAGGCAGAAGTGGAGATTTGGAGATCATTGTTCGCATCATTATTAGAGGCTATAAGAGCAATAGATATGCTAGATGGAAGAGAAGAGGTTGGTGATGAAATGGAGAAGTCAGTTGGGTTATTCGGTGTAGCTATTTGAGTGGATGACTCAAGAGAAGGAGCTGTCCAGGTATATATAGTGGAGGAAGAGACACGTGGCAGAGTTGTAGCAGCAAAATGGAATGGAAAAGTGTTCCACAAAAACAACATGCCTAGAGATAAAGATTTTATTTAATAAAGAATCTAAGGAGACATAGCCATTTGTAGAGGATTAGTACTCCAAGAATACACATGGACAAATTCTTTGATCGAGCTTATGCATGTTATAGGGTCGTAACCAAGGATAGCAGAGACACCCACACTACTGGAAAATTCACCTATGGCTACGCATGGAAAACCGTTCCAATAGGTAAGAAAATCGTTGCCATAGATGTATTGCAACGGTTCAGCGCCCGTTCCACAAGCTGTCGTGCCTATAGAGCTTATGGAACGGTTTTTGGAACGGTTCCAATAACCGTTTCTATAGAACGGTCTATCGCTACGGTTTTCCTTCTACCTGGTGGAACGATTAGTCTTATCAAATGCAACGGTTAATCACCGTTACCATAACGTTAAATGCAACGGTCGATAACCGTTACTATATCTATTAAACCGTTATGGATATTACAGAAATGGCAACGATTTCTTTAAAATATTGCAACGGTTGAACTACATATTGCAACGGTTTGTAGATTATTTTGGAACGGTTTGCAGGTCCTATGGTAACGGTTCTCTTACATATTGCAATGGTTGTTAGAATTTTGGAACGGTTTTTAGATTATTTGGAACGGTTTGCAGGTCCTATGGCAACGGTTGACCTACCTATTGCAACGGTTTGTATATTATTTTGGAACAGTTTGCAGGTCATATGGAAACGGTTTTGTTAGCTGTAACAATTTAATTGAATTGAAAATAGTGCCCCCTGTTGTAAATAAAGAATTTACATATATATACAATAAACTATAAAACACTAAAATTTATATAAATACAAAATGAAACTTTTCATAATCTAAATTGTCCGACAAGTTAATAATAAATCCATAGATAGTGATGAAACCAATAACATACATTTGATATCTCAAGATCAAAAGTTTTAAAATGTTTTGATAACAAACAATCCTAGAAACCGCCACATGCATCTACAACAATCTAACAATTCAAAATTCAGGTAAGGTCTAGATCTTCATCACTGCCTCCGTCTTCCATCTCTTCGTTTACTCCACCTACAATAGAGATGTGAGAGGTTAAATGTCCCCAACATAAAATTATTTTTGCACCCAAGTAACAGAAACAGAGAGAAAAAGCTTTCAACAGAAACACATGAACAAGTGCATATTGTGAGTATCCATTGCATATGTATAACGTACACCTCCTAATGCAAATTCCTGACAAGATGTGAAAATGATGCTTCTTCAAGCTGACCAGTTTGCAGCTTGGCAAACTTTATAAGTATTCAATTCAGGGAGTAACTAAAATTAACCAGAAAACCAAAAGCAAAGTCAAGAGTCTCACAACAGGAGGAAAAACCATCAAGCGTTCAGAAAAGGAACTAACTACTTTGTATTCCCATATTCTAGGACAAAAGACCAGAATTAAGCTAACATAGTACAGTTATGTACCAACAGAACTCCTGGCATAACCATCATTGCTTTAAGAAGCCAATACTCCAACAAAAATAAACTTTTAACAGACTGAACAAATGCATTAGCAGTTATGAATAATAGAACATTGACCACAAGTTTATCCAGTCTTTCTCTCCAACATAGAGTTGTCTTTATAACTATTATATTTAGTAGAGCAATCAGAGTACAAATTACCATTACTGCCCAGAGTTATTAGACCACTTGAAAGAAGTAATGAAATCCAAATCAACAAAGAAAACAGGGAATGACAGTACTCTTTCGAACTCTTGCGCACTGATAAAGAAAGAGAGCNACAGTTAAAAAAGAGGAGAAGAAGAGGAAAGAGAAGACGTGTAACATTTGCTACGGACTAACCTTGGTTGTTACTGCCAACGGTTGGGCGATTGATTGGTTGAATAGCACCTTGTTGTGCAGAAGCAGCTTCGCCATGTGCACGAGCACTGAATATTAGCATGTCAGGATCAAGTCTTAAATCGGGGTTGAGACGTTGAAGTCGTGTAATGACGTTCATCGTAATATCTTGCCATAGCATCCTTTTGTGCATTGAGCTCTTCCAGCATTTTTTCCTTTTGTGCATTGAGCTTTTCCAACAATTTTTGTTGCATCCTCTCTTCCATTTCCTCCATTTTTGTTCCATTCTCTCATCAGTAGCATTTACAGAGGATCCAAAATCTCCTTTTTTTTCTTTTTTAAGACAGTTTTGTTAACTCCTCGTCCATACAATCTTGCCCGACCTGGGTGCTCAGGTCCCATGAATGATGCAAACGCATCAACTGAATCACTACCATCTCCACTTTCTTGATTTGATTGTATTCTCTCCATTTCAGCCTACAAACCAAATGCAAGAGAATAGAGTATAAGTAAATAAAACTAAGTCGATAATTAAGAACAAATTAATAATCACGATAATCTTTAAACCAGAAATTTCTTATAATTTTACTAATTGTATTCTCATAAGAGCTTTTGTATACTCGACCAGGTTTTCTTTTTCTTGTAGCCACAAAGATATCCTTACTTGATAGAGTATCCGAAGTATCAACCATTTCCTTCTTTTTTTTCCTAGTAACATGAAAACTGGTATAATAATATTTTCATTCAAAGTTAGCAAGTTCATACCAGAGAAAAAAATCAAACCTCGATGATTTGAGCAAAACTTGTTTTGCCAGCAGTGTGTGGATGCTTTAACTTTTTTCGATTCTCGATATTGGTTTCAGACGTTTTCTGCAAATAAACAAGCAAAGATTGACAAGGGGCCACTCTCTTTTGTGATTTCAAATACAGGATGCATGTGTATATAAAGCCATGATTGTTCCATTCTTTATCTAGACAACATTAAAGCATCTACGATGTTAAGATTCATCTATTATGTTAGGATGCTCAATTGAACTTCAACATTATTCATACTTAACTTGCACAATTGAAGCATGCTTACTCATTGTGAAATAGTCTGTTATTCTAAACTCCTATAATTAGTCTGATGATCTGAACCACATGGCATCTGATACTTTATTCTTCTTATAGTCTTGCCTTCCTAAAGAATGTTTCATATGTGAGCCTGTACATTATCTCTTTGGCTTTCTGTGCTCTATCATGCCTTTAAACAAAGTTCATGCTTATCTCTCGCACTCTTGCTTATGTTTCGATGTTGTACTGTCACATAGAAGACACTAAACCTTGCTAAACCCCTACAGGTTGATTGAAACTGACTAAAAGACTTAAATGAACCTTCAGGTGTTACTTGCTTTGTTTGAATATAATACAATGTGTCAACTCTCAAGGAACCTAGTGTGAATATGAGGCTAGGGACTATTGAAACCAACTTGCTTGTTTTAGTATCTCTGCTGATACTCTTCTATTTCTTTAGTTACATGACAATGTAAAAATAACCAGGCAAATTCCCATGGACCAGCTTCTAGTTCATCAAATTCCAGAAGAAACTTATCATGATCGTGACAACACTTGATGCGACCATCTGATTATTAGCAACTTATTGCCAAAGAAGTTGGTTTTGTCAAATGTTACCTAATTGTTCATTAAGTGAACAATCTACCAGCAACCAGAAGAACATAAAGGTAACACGTCCGCCGGGTCTGTCCTAGATGATAATGCAAATTGACATAGTCCAACACTACAATAATTGAAGTCAGTTGAATACCTTAAAGTTGAGAATTTGCAAAAGCTACTCAAGGAGCCATATCACAGCTGCTCTACTTTGATGAGCATCTATGAGCATATAAAGCCACTACATGGTGAGGAGCCAATGACCACCAAAAACATGTATGACTTTTGTGAGGTTTATTTCAGGGATTTGATGTTCCTTTGTTTCACATAAGCGCATTACCATGACCAAAGATTGGCCGCTCCAG